CCGTAAATATTTCAATAAAAATGACAATTATTTTCTTCCGGTAAAGTAATTTGATCCCCCTTATGCTATCTACGGTTGAATGACGCGTTGGTTTGACGCATGCGCAAATACTACGATATTAGTTAACGTGCTCATAACTAGAGGTCTCTGTGGTCATTTCAAAACGCCGCGCCATTTTGTAGGATATTAGTTCATAGATCAGTGCCAACTCGCCGTTGACTCGACTCCAAACTCGAATCAGCAATTCTTTTGAATTGGATTAACTCGAGTTGGTAAAGTATCCGTCTCGTCACGAGCATTTTAACTCGTTAAACTCGAGTCATTTAGAATCATTTTTATTGTAACTCAAGTTATTGATGCAAACGAAAAAATTCGGATTGGTATACTATTCAACTCTGTAAAATCGAATCAAACGTGTATTCAAATCAATTCGATTCAAACATGTATTCGAGTCAACTCGAATCAAACATATATTCGAGTCAACTCGAATCAAACGTATTCGAGTCAACTCGAATCAAACATCTATTCGAGTCAACTCGAATCAAACATGTATTCGAGTCAACTCGAATCAAACATGCATTCGAGTCAACTCGAATCAAACATGTATTCGAGTCAGCTCGAATCAAACATCTATTCGAGTCAACTCGAATCAAACATGTATTCGAGTCAACTCGAATATTCGAGTCAACTCGAATCAAACATGTATTCGAGTTAACTCGAATCAAACATGTATTCGAGTCAACTCGAGTCATTTTTATTGTAACTCGAGTTATTGGTACAAACGAATGTGAGTAACGAGTGTAAGAGTGATACCGAGTTACTCGCACCGAGATACCAATCGCGCCTTATTTATTTATCCGGGTAATCGTCATTCGAATTATTTAGTCTCCAACTCGCCATTGACTCGACTCGTCGCGCCGAATGTTTGCGACACCAAATTATAAATTCGAGACTAACCTCGAATTAAGGGGAAATGGTACATAGTTTTTTCTATGTGCGTTTTCACACCTACGAGAGCTATAAGCGGGGAAACTTCGCACTCAAAAATGTCTGCACAGAATGTACTTTGAATAACTTGAATGGCTGAAATCACAGCCTTCCGAAAATATAACTTTCCCTGTGCAACCAGATTTTTCAATTATCTGTCAGAAAAAATATAAATAAGGAGTAAAAATCCGAACTGGCAGCTCACGAATCTGTCATGGCGGCCCAACATGGCCTGTGTTGTTGCTCGTTTAACGCTTATAGCATTGTTACACGAAACCACTAATGAAAATCCGAAAAAGGGCCGCGCAAAGAAAATTGTTCACTCGCCAACTTCACCTCATATCACTGGAAATCGCGGTTAATAAGCCGAACTCGACCTTTTTGGACGCGAACATACGAAGCCGTCAACGAGTACATTTCTCTCGCATAAAACTTGAGCAAATTTCCGCCACGAGCGCTAGTTGTACGTCGTGACGTCGTGCGCTGTTAAAGATGCGCAGTGGACGACCTGCAGAAACAGCCAGCGACATGAACGTACTTATCGGGGTCCTTGTAGAATTTTCCATTCGATGCAATACGTTCATGCATCGTGAAAACACACGAAACTTATAGATGTTGAATCCTTTTCTTGTGTAGTACAGTGGATATCTGTTTTCTAATGAATTAATTATTAACAATGTCCTTATTTCTTTACGTGAAGTGTGAAATTTTGATCGAGGCCGCACCCTGTGACTCTTACGATCGACGTTCCTATTCTTGATATCAAAATCACTGTGCCGTGACTTCCAAGGTTGTTACGTCACAAGTGTTGCCTCCGCTTGCCGTTACGCGGCAGCACTGTCGACTCGACTGTCTTGAAACGTACCATTCCCCCTTAAGAGGATGTGTTACAGAATCGTTTCAAACTTTACAATGTGAACACGGAGGCTACAAGGAAGCTTGACACGCTTGAAATTTCATATTTTAAACAAAATTTTGAAAATATCTATAAACAAATTAAAAAAAAAATGGAAATTTTATGAGTACCAGGACCTTCCTTATAGTCGCTGTGTTGACATTGTAAAGTTTGAAAGGATCCGGTAAACCCAGTTTAGAGAAAAGTTTCATAAACGAGAACTCTGACGCCACTTTTACATCACCTTGACAATGCTCTCGAAATCGCGTAACTCGAGTTGGTAAAGTATTCGACTCGTCACATCGCTAGACCAATTGAAACCACCAGGCCTCAATTTCAGTTCTTTCCTCGCCGAATAATTACAAGATTTTGCTATGCATAAAACGCGGCGTTCAATCGCAAGTTGGCCTGCCAAATTATTACGAAATCTAGAACAACGTACGTAACTTCTTCAAAGATCCGGCAGAGGCGCCAGGGGGCGAACACCTTTTAAACGAGGATTAAGGTGATGTGAAAGCACCGTGAAGAGGTGTTTATGAAACTTTTCTCCGAACTGAATGTACCTAATCGTTTCAAACTTGACAATGTGAATATGTAAGCTATGAAGAAGGTCCTGCCGCCCATAAAAATTTAATTTTTAAAAAATTTGTTTATAGATGTTTTCAAAATTTGTATAGAAAATGAAATTTTATGAGTTTCAGAACCTACCTCAGGGCTTCCACATTCACGTTGTAACGTTTGGAACGATTCGGTACACCCAGTTGGTTGAAAAGTTTCATGAACGATGGACCTTTCGGATGCTACGTTCATATCCCCTTATGATGATAGGAGTCAATCGTTCATGAAACTTTTGTCCGAACTGAATGTACCTAATCGTTTCAAACTTCATAACGTGGACGTGAAGACTATTAGGAAGGTCCTGACACCCATGAACTCCATAATTTTACAAACAATTTTTAAAGGGAGCAAAAAAAATTGAAAACTTTTTATTTAGCCTAGACTACAACAAAACTCATATTTTTGGTGATAAATGAAATTTCAGGAACATTGCGTTTTTTCTTAGGGCCTCAATAATCATGTGTTAAAGTTTCAGAAAATTCGGTGCACCCAGTTTGAAGAAAAGTTTTATAAATATTTTCACGTTTTGATATACATAGAATGACCCTTTCATATCACTTTAAAGTGATACGAAAGTGGCGACAAGGTCTCTTTTATGAAACTTTTGACCGAATTGAGTACACCAAATCGTTTCAAACTTTACTTTGTGAATATGGAGGCTGTAAGGAAAGTCCTGACACCCAGGACATTTAAAATTTTTTTTTAATTTGTTTATGGCATTTTAAAACTTGTTTATAAAAAAATGAAATTCCATGGGTGTCAGAACATTCTTTACAGTCTTCCCGTTCTCGTTATAAAGTTTGAAGCGATTCGGTACACCCAGTTCGGACAAAAGTTTCATCAACGATTGGCTCCTCAGACGCCACTTTCACATCCCCTTAAGGTGATATGAAAGGGTCATTTTATTTACATATAACGCCAATATATTTATGACTTTTCTCCAAACTGAGTGTATCGAATCATTTGAAACTTCAGCACGTAATTATAGAGGCCCTAAGGAAGAACACGGTGCTCATGAAATTTGATTTAAAAAAAAAAAAATGTACTGGTTCTAGTCTGGGATAAACAAAAAATTTTTTTATTTAAATTGAAATTTCATGGGCACCTAGTTTTCCCTTAGGGCCTTCATAATCATGTGCTGATGTTTCGAATGATTCGGTGAAATGTGGAGAAAAGTTTTATCAATATTTTTACTTTTTATATACATAGAAATTACCTTTTCATATCCCTTTAAAGCGATATAAAAGTGTCATATACATACCAAAATGTCAAAATATTTATAAAACTTTTCTCCAAAATAGGTGCACCGAATCATTTGAAACTTCATCACGAGATTATGAAGACCTTAAGGAAGAACGCAATGATCGTAAAATTTGATTTGTCAAAACAGAGTTGTTTATTTAGTTTATTTTGTTATTTAGTCTAGACTAGAACCAAGATTACATTTTTTTTGTGATAAATGAAATTTTATTAGCATGGCGATCTTCCCTAGGACCTCTATAATCTCGCGATGAAGTTCCAAATGATTCGGTGCACCCAGTTTGAAAAATAGTTTTATATTTTGACTTTTTATATGTATAGAATGACCCTTTCATATCACCTCAAGCTGATATGAAAGTGACATCTTATGAGTCGATCGTTTCAATGTGAAGAGTGGCAATAAGGAAGGTCTTGACACCCATGAAATTTCATTTTTTACGAAAAATGTTAAAAATGCCTGGCAAAAGATATTTAAATAATTGAATTTCATGGGTGTCGAGACCTTCCTTATAGCCTCCATATTCACATTGCAAAATTTGAAACGATTCGATATACCCAGTTCCGAGATAAGTTTCATAAACGAGACCTCTTCGACGCCACTTTCGCATCGCCTTAAAGATTTGTTGCGATACGAGCGATTCACGCGTGCGCGTGCAGAGGGGCGCATCCGGAGCCGAGGGAAGAAACAGCAAAGGGGGAAGCTCCTCCGTGCGAGCTCTACGTTAAGTTAAACCTTAGGAGTAGTCACAGTTCGATGAAAATAAAGAGATATACACAGAGAGGAGATTTAAATCTAGGCGTCCATTCTCAAAGATGAAGCTCGACGGGATCCTTAACCACGCGCAGTCTTCCTGGAAGTCCGAAGAAGATCCCACTCTCGATGGTGCCGCCGCCGACGTCGTGACGAAGAACTACTCGCATCATCACCGCCGACTAACGTGCCTCCAGGTGTTTGCAGAGCGACTCGCATCATCACCGTCGGGTAAAGTGCCTCCAGGAGTTCGCAGAGCACGAGAGTCACCACCTGGAGACGCAGTCGTAGCCTTCTCCGAGACCCCCGGACGGGTTCCCCGAGCAAGCCCTGGTTCCCCCCGAGCCTGCGACGCGATACGTCCAGGACCCTCGTCCCCGGGGCCCCGGTCCCTTGGGCACTGTCGATACCCAGGCACACGCCACCCGGAGAGTCTGCCGAGGAAGGACAGGTCGTCATTCCCTGCCTCCTGGGGGCGACGCGTCGCACTTCCGACTGCGGGGACCGTGCGGTTACGTCTTCCAGTTGTGCGGATGGGCCCGAGGGGGCGGCTGGTTGCCCTGGCCTTGGGAGGCCTGCGACGGGATCATGTCCAGGAGGTACTGGCGCTGCATGTCGGCCGCCTGTCTTTGGAGCTCGACCAGACCCTTGCCGCCGGCGGCCTGCGCCATCGCCAGCTGGTACGGGTACAGGATCGGGTTGAAGGGCGGCATCATGTGCGCCGGCAGCGGCTGATGCGGCGGGAGACCCGGCACCGGGTTCTTCGCCAATTCTGGAAAACGACAGCGACGGGACGGGTGAGACTCGGCAGACTTTGCGCCAAATACTTAAGGTGAAGTGAAACACGTCGAGGAACTTCATCGACGTCGATAAAGAAGATTTTTCTAAATGCCTACGTTGCCGACGTTGGTTTTTATATCGACAGCTGTGTCGAATTATATTGGGTATTGTCCCAAATGGCATACTCCACCTGTCGTTTTCGTATAATAATTATCAAGAAATCTAAGTAAAACTCCAGAAATCCTCTGGATTCATGCTTTCTGGGGCCCTAATGGACTGCAGAGGGACCCCCTGCGTTATCTTTGGTTTCCAGATCAATTAAATTTTCACTCCGAGTCCTCGTATTGCCATTGTTTTAGCATAGAAGCACATAACACACTTTCTTTGCCTTTATCTCGTTCAAATGCGAGTTTAACGATTACCAGAGTGTTCTAAATTGTCGTAAAATTGTCCTAACCCTTCCATTTTTCATTTCAGAACCTTCGATAATTGTATATTGATCAAAATATGAGAGCTCGACGCCATTTTGGTTCTGGTTTGGGCTAAGTCAAAAAATTTTTTCCATAAATCTAAATTTTGAATGTATCAGGACAATTCATAGATGATCACGAGGCATGTGTCAAAGTTTCGGACAGTTTGGTCCAATATCCTTAAAAAAAAAAGTGTTGTATCGAATGGACTGATTGAAGAGCGTTTCATTTCACCTTAAGAGGATGTGAAAGTGGCGTGAAGAGGTCTCGTTTATGAAACTTTTCTCCAAACTGAGAGTACCGAATCTGTTAAAACTTTACAACGTAAACGTGTAGACTATAAGGAAGGTCCTGACACTACTGAAGTTTCCTTTTTCATAAAAAATTTTGAAAATATCAATAAGCAAATTATAAAAAAATGGAAATTTTACGGGTTTCAGGACCTTCTTTATAGGCTGCATATTCACCTTGTCAAGTTTGACACAATTCGATACACCCTGTTTAGAGAAAAGTTTCATGAAGTCTTTGACGCCACTTTCACATCCCCTTAAGGCTTGTACACCCAGCCCATTTGTACAAACGATATATGTAAATGATCCTTAGCAGGCGCCGGATTTTGTTTGTTTCCATATCTTGATAAACAGGCGGAGAATCACCTCGGAGAAGCTGCTGCTGTAACGCAGCCGCAGCGGCCGCGTGGTGCGGGTTGAATTTGCCGCTCTCGGCTAACTTGACCAGCGGATGCTCCTGCAATTTCGGGGCAGGCGGCGTAGGTGCAGGTGCAGGTGCAGGGGGCACCTGGGGTGGAGGCGCCGGAGGGGTAGCCATTCTTCTAGTAGGAGTCGCCAGCTTCGGAACCGGCTTCGGGGCCGGTGGGTCAGGACTTGGACACGCCACCTGAGCCAGCTTCTCCTCGATCTCTTCCTCTTGTTTCAATGCCTTCACGAAGGCCGCTTTCAACCTGCGAGCATTTAAGCAACATCAATTCCAGCGTGTATATAAAGCTGGAATTGCCACTTTAGCACAATTCAATAAAACTTGTTGAAAAATTTATTGCTATTTTATTGCACAAGAATGACATTTTTTGCTCTCATGCTTTTCCGAAAAATGGTGGCGATGTCAGCTTTATATAAAGCTAGCACTGCGACAATAAAAAACAATTATTAAGTAAATGTTCATCGATGAGTTATATACCGGAATTTATTGCTAATTAATTGCTCGCGGAAAAACCAAATTTCAATTTTTTTTTGCTCACCCCTAAAGGGGTGAGTCTCCACCCTGATCGCTGTACAGAAACATGAAAAACATGGGAGAATCAAACTATTTCTTCGCGTGGGAATTAATTGCTCCAAGAATCAATATCTTCGTAAAGATACAATTTTCAAACCTACATTAATTAGCAATTAATTCCCACGCGAAGAAATAGTTCGATTCTCCCATTTCTTACGTGGCCATGCTGGGGCGACATAAGAGGGGTTGGCCTACCACCTTAGGGGTTGTGAATAAAAATTAGGTTCTTCTCGGAGCAATTAATAAGCAATTAATTTCCACGTGAAGAAATAGTTCGATTCTCACATGTTTTTCATGGTTCTGTCCTGCAATCATCACTAGGGGTTGTGATCCACCCCTTTAGGGGTGAGAAAAAAAATTGAAATTTGGCTTTTCCGCGAGCAATTAATTAGCAATAAATTACGGTATATAATTCGTCGATGAACGTTTACTTAATAATTATTTTTTATTCTGGCAGTGCTAGCTTTATATAAAGCTGACATCGCCACCATTTTTCGGAAAAGTATGAGAGCAAAAAATTTCTTTCTTGTGCAATAAAATAGCAATGAATTAGCAATAAATTTTTCAACAAATTTTATTGAATTGTGCTAAAGTGGCAATTTCAGCTTTATATAGATAATTCCAGCTACATTAAGATGATATGAAAGGCGCTGAGAGATTTAATCGACGTCGATTAAATCAAATTCATCTATACCCTTTTCGGTGGGAACGCCATTTTGAATACTCAAGTAGGAACATAAGCTGGCGCGTCCCGTTACCGACATTTATATTTATGTTGAATCTTTTACAGCCTACGTTGAGAATTATACGAACCGAAGGGTTCTATATGTTATTTCAGTGAAGTAACGATGAAAAGATCGATGTAAAACTGCCGAAATCCCATGAATTTAAGACTGTTTATATTTCGACGAACCAATGTCGCCATCTGTGACGTTTAGCCGCAACTAAACTTTTCTTTCAAAAACACGTGTTAGTCGCAGGACAATCCAGCATTCTCTTGGAATCGTTGGTGAAAGTATTTACCACATTTCCCCATCTGACTCTGTAATGTTCCATTTCTACGGTATTCTAAATTGTTCGAGCTAGGTCCTGAAACTCTTAATTTTCGATTCTAAACCTCCAAGAAGCGTAAAACATCGAAAACGTGCATGGACCCCGCCATGTTGGTTCTAGTCCATGATAAATAAATAAATTTTTGATGAAAAATAAAATTTCATGAGTTTCAGGGCCTACTTTACAGCCTTCATATTCACGTGGTAAAATTTGAAACGAAACGGCACCCCTAATTCGAAGAATACTTTCCTCAACAATTTGACGAACTGAACCGTTCCATATGTAATTTCGGTAAAGTAATGATGAAAAGATCGATGTAAAACTGCCGAAATCCCGTGAATTCATTATTCTAACGACTGTTTAGGACCAGTGTCGCCATCTGTGACGTTTAGCTGCAACTAAATTTTTGCTCTAAACACCCGCGCTAACCCCGGGACAAGCCAGCATTCTCTTACAATCGTTGGTGAAAGCATTTACCACATTCTCCCATCTGACTCTGTAATATCTCATTTCCACGGTATTCTGAATAGTTCACACTAGGTCCTGAAACTCTTCATTTCCGACCCTAAGCTTCCAAAAAGCGTAAAACATCAAAAACACGCACGGACGAGATCACGTTGGGTCTAATCCAAGATAAACAGACAAATTTTTGATGAAAAATGAAATTTCATCATTTCATTTCCTTCCTCATACCTGTATATTACCCTGCATAATTGTATCGTAAAGTTTGAATTTATTCAGTATTCTCAGTTTGGAGAAAAGTTTCATTTTGCATAAAAAATTTTGACAACGTCTATAAACAAATATTAAAAAAAAATTGAAAATTCATGAGTTTCAGGACCTTCCTCATACCTGTATATTACCCTGCATAATTTTATCGTAAAGTTTTCATTTATTCGGTATCCTCAGTTTGGAGAAAAGTTTCATTTTGCATAAAAAATGTTGACGTCTATGACCTTCCTCATACCTGTATATTACCCTGCATAATTGTATCGTAAAGTTTGAATTTATTCAGTATCCTCAGTTCGGAGAAAAGTTTCATTTTGCATAAAAAATGTTGACGTCTATAAACAAATATTACAAAAAAAAAAATTGAAATTTCCTGAGTTTCAGGACCTTTCTCATACCTGTATATTACCCGGCATAATTATATCGTAAAGTTTGAATTTATTCAGTATCCTCAGTTTGGAGGAAAGTTTCATTTTGCATAAAAAATTTGGAAAACGTCTATAAACAAGTATTAAAAAAAAAAATTGAAATTTCCTGAGTTTCAGGACCTTCCTCATACCTGCATATTACCCTGCATAATTTTATCGTAAAGTTTGAATTTATTCAGTGTCCTCAGTTTGGAGGAAAGTTTCATTTTGCATAAACAATTTGACTTCACTTTCACATTCCCTTAAGGCTTGTACACACATGTATACGAATGCTATATAAATGATTCTCACGGTGAAGTGAAATACATCAAGGAACTTGATCGACGTCGGTAAAACAGGTGTTTCTACGTACCTTCGTTGCCGACATTCGTTTTTATATTGACAATGGAGTGTACCATTTAGTACAATACCCAATATAATTCGACCCATTTGTCAATACAAAAATGAACATCGGCAACGAAGGTATTTAGAAAAATCTTCTTTACCGACGTCGATGAAGTTCCTCTACGTGTTTCACTTCACATTAAGGTGATATGAAAGTCTGATATACGCGTACCAAAAAGTCAAAATATTTATAAAACTTTTCTCAAAACTGGGTGCACCGAATTATTTAAAATTTTAACACGTGATCGTGGAGGCTCTAATGAAGAACACGCAACCCATGAAATTTCATTTTTCGAAAAAAATATCTTTTTTTGGTTTTTGTCCGAGATAAATGGAAAATTTGTTTCGAAAAATGAAATTTCACAAGCAGCGCGTTCTTCCCTAGAGCCTTCATAATCACGTGATAAAGTTTCAGATAATTCGGTGCACCCAGTTTGAAGAAAAGTTTTATAGATATGTACGTACCAAACATCACCTTAAGGTGGGATGAAAGTGACGAGAATAGGTCCCGTTTATGAAACTTTTCTCCGAACTGAGTGTACCGAATCGTTTGACTTGACAATATGAACATATAACCTATAAAGAAGGTCCTGACAGCCACAACATTTTAATTCTTTAACCAGTTAACTGTGATTGACGAGTATACTCGTCATGGAGAAGTGGCACAATTTTGTGTATTGACGAGTATACTCGTCATGCGTATAAAGTAGGGACCATTGGGTATTTAAATTTAAATTTCTGAGATAAACAAAACATATTCTCAAATTTCAAGATGTTTAGAATATTTTGAGGCCAGGCCGGAATAAAACAAAGGAATAAAAAATAGAAATAATTTGAGATAAACTCATGCGCCCCGTATGCACCGGCTGAAACAGCTTGCCATCTATTAGATATTATTTGTTTGAATTCATATATATTATACAAAAAAAAAATAATGGAACGTTATCGCGAAAGAATTTTTTGCTAGAATTTGTTGAGGACCCTATTGCATTATATCCAATAACCCGGGAAAAATCGACACAAACTCGGCCATCTAGGCCCAATGTAACACAATTACTCGGGAGTCATGTTCTGGATCATATACCCAGAACTTCGAACACAACAAATCCTACCCGAAGGTGTGCACGTTGTTATAAACGCAAATCAGGAAAGAATCCCGTTACTGGTGTTCCATTTGCAAAGTCCCATTATGCGTAACACCCTGTTTTGCCGAATACCACGCCACGGCAGGAATTTAAATTCTTGCTATCAAATGCATTTAATTTCTCTTGCGTTTTTCGTCTAATAAGTATGTAATATATGTTTAAGTTGACCAAATAAATATACATTGGTAATAAAAGTGTCAATTTTATAAAATAAACCCATCTTTTTGATCCAGTATCTTAACAGCGACACCTACTCTGTGATTGACGAGATACTCGTCATCGCTCGATTTCGGCGACACATATAGTTCCGCGCTCGCAAAAGGGGGCGCCACAGGTAGCTGGTTAAAAATTAGTTTATAAATGTTTTCCAGATTTTGTGATAAAAAAATGCAATTTCATGAGTTTCAGGACCTACCTTAGGCTTGAAATAACCTTAAAAAAAGAAGCGTTTCACATTCCGAATCGGGTCCCTTTCGTAACATGCGAACTTACACCTACTTATCCCATGAGAAGTCTATCGAAGGACCTACGCACATCGAGAATAATTTGAAAAGAAGGGTAGAAGAGTGTTTACCGATTGGTATGCTCAGCCTTGAGTCCCTTTTTGACGTTTGTCGTGACACAATGCTCGCATATTACTCTAGGATCGCGACCTGCCGGTGGTCTCTGAAAAGTGGCATGTTGGCCCCGGGGTCCCTCCTTCTTGCCACTGTTAATAGGCTTCTCCCATTTCCAGACCGGAGTGAAGTCGGTTACGCACTGGGTGCACTCAAAGGGCTCCGGAGGAGGTGGTATGGCCGGCTCTTTCGTAATAAAGTCCACGACGTGTTCCAGGCCCACCAGGTAGATGAACTCCGTGTTAGATGGATTGGGCACAAAGTGCATCTCCGGGGGCGGAGGCTTCGGTGGCGGTATCTGGAGCAGAGTCTTCTCCAGCTGCTTCCTCAGGGCGAGCTTTGCGGCGGATTCGCGCTGCTCGGAGGTCTGATTGCTCTCCCGTGGTCGTTCCTGGTCAAATAAAGGGAATTATTGGTACATCCAGGTTTAGCTGCGACAACATATCATGAATAAAGAGCCCTTTTTCTATACTACGATGTCTAGTTATTTCGCGTTATACGGGGTGGTTCATTTAACCTCTTAACTTACAATATCGTGTGAGAGACGTGATAAATCGATCGGGCCAAACGTGAACAAAACGTGTGAGAGACGTGGTATGTCAATCGGGTCAAACGTGAACAAAACGTGTGAAACATGGTAAATCAATCGGGCCAAACGTGAACAAAACGTGTGAGACATGGTATGTCAATCGGGCCAAACGTGAACAAAACGTGTGAAAAACATGGTACATCAATCGGGCCAAACGTGAACAAAACGTGTGAGAGACGTGTTATGTCAATCGGGTCAAACGTGAACAAAACGTGTGAAACATGGTAAATCAATCGGGCCAAACGTGAACAAAACGTGTGAGACATGGTATGTCAATCGGGCCAAACGTGAACAAAACGTGTGAAAGACATGGTACATCAATCGGGCCAAACGTGAACAAAACGTGTGAAACGTGGTAAATCAATCGGTCCAAACGTGAACAAAACGTGTGAGAGACGTGGTATATCAATCGGGCCAAACGGGAACAAAACGTGTGAGAGACGTGTTATGTCAATCGGGACAAACGGGAACAAAACGTGTGAGAGACGTGTTATGTCAATCGGGCCAAACGTGAACAAAATGCGTCAGAGACGTGGTATGTCAATCAGGCCAAGCGTGAACAAAACGTGTGAAAGACGTGGTATGTCAATCGAGCCAACCGTGAACAAAACGTGTAAGAGACGTGGTATACCAATCGGGCCAAACGTGAACAAAACGTGTGAGAGACGTGGTATGTCAATCGGGCCAAACGTGAACAAAACGTGTAAGAGACATGGTATATTAATCGGGCCAAACGTGAACAAAACGTGTGAGAGACGTGTGAGACGTTGAACGTTCAGTCAAACCGAGAAATGGCCCGATGTATGTCCGACATTTTTGTTGTTTGTGGCACGCGCTATTGGAATTTAAATCGTAAGGCAAGGGGTTAACTTGAGACACCGAATTATCTCAAGAAATACGGATCGTACGAAAAAATGTTTCAGAACAAAAATTATTCCTATTAGAGAGACACATAAAGGGGAGCTATCAGTTTCACCGTAGATGGCTCTCTTGTCGATGAAAGTGAGATTAGGTTGATTTTCGTGAGGTGAAATGAAACACGTCGGGGAACTTGATCGACGTCGATAAAGATTTTTCTAAATGCCTACGTTGGTTTTTATATTGACAGCTGGGTCGAATTATATTGGGTATTGTACCAATAGGCTATAAGGCTAGTCCTGACACCCATGAAATTTTAATCGTTGAGAAATTTGTTAACTCAATTTGTATTTTGAAAATCCTTTATTAAAAATGAAATATCAAGAGTGTCAGGACCTTTCTTATAACCTCCACATTCAATTTGTAAAGTTTGAAACGATTCGACACACCCGATTTGAGGAAAAGTTTCATAAGCGAAATCTCTCTGATGTCACTTTCACATCCCCTTAAGGCGATGAGTCAATGAGACCTCGTTTATGAAACTTTCCATCGAACTGGGTGTACCGAATCGTATCAAATTTGAAAATATGAACACGAAAGCAATAAAGAAGGTCCTGACACTCATGAAATTTAAATGTTTTAACCATTTGTTTATAGATGTTTTCAAAAATTTCTTATAAAAACTGAAATTTCATGAGTGTCAGAACCTTTCCTGTAGTCTCGATGTTCATATTACAATGTTTGAAACGATTCGGTGCACCCAGTTCGGAGAAAAGTTTCCTGAACGATTAACCCCTCGGATGGCACTTTCACATCACCTTAAGGCGATGAGTCAATGAGGCCTCGTTTATGAAACTTTCCATCGAACTGGGCGTACCGAATCGTTTCAAATTTGAAAATATGAACACGAAAACTACAAGGTAGGTCCTGACACTCATGAAATTTCAATGTTTTAACCATTTTTTTATAGATGTTTACAAAATTTCTTATAAAAACTGAAATTTCATGAGTGTCAGAACCTTTCCTGTAGTCTCGATGTTCATATTGCAAAGTTTGAAACGATTCGGTGCACCCAGTTCGGAGAAAAGTTTCATGAACGATTGACCCCTTGGATGCCACTTTCACATCCCCTTAAGGCGATGAGTCAATGAGGCCTCGTTTATGAAACTTTCCATCGAACTGGGCGTACCGAATCGTTTCAAATTTGAAAATATGAACACGAAAACTACAAGGTAGGTTCTGACACTCATGAAATTTCAATGTTTTAACCATTTGTTTATAGATGTTTACAAAATTTCTTATAAAAACTGAAATTTCATGAGTGTAGGGACCTTCCTTGTAGTCTCGATGTTCATACTATAAAGTTTGAATCGATTTGGTACACCCAGTTCGGAGAAAAGTCTCATGAACGATTGACCCTTCGGATGCCACTTTCACATCCCCTTAAAGGGTTATATGTAGTTGTCGTAGGCGAAATTCAAGAATTTTTGTTCATAACTGAAATGCATTTTTTAATCGAAAACAGGATGTGATTTCATAGTACAATTATTGAACTTAATATATCATTTTTTTTTTGTCAGGATATATTAAAAAATTAGGGAGGTACAGCAATCCTCCGAAAAAGTTTCTCTTTTTTTTTGCGGTGACCACGATATCTCAAGAAGTATTTCACCGATCGGCTTCAAATTTTCTACAATGGATTTTTCGAAATTCCAATTATTATCAAAATGGCAGAGGTTTTCCTGAAAAATCGCTTTTTTCGTCTTATAACATTCTCATTTTTCCTTAATAAAACAGCAAGTTTGCATAGAAAAAAAAAGAATCATTCGTTCATTCAGGAGTCCTCCATGTGTCCAAAGGAATGAGCCCTAAAAATTTGAGCTGATCGGTGAAATACTTTTTGAAATATCGTGGTCACCGCAAAAAAAAAAATTTTTTCAGAGAATAGCTGTACTTCACCAATTTTTAAATATGTCTTGGCCAAAAAATGATATGTAAAGTACAATAATTGTACTATGAAGTCACGTCCTGTTTTCGATTAAAAAATGCATTTCAGTTATGAACAAAAATTCTTGAATTTCGCCTACGACAACTACATATAACCCCTTAAGGGGATGTGAAAGTGGCATCCGAAAGGCCAATCGTTCATGAAACTTTTCTCCGAACTGGGTGTACCAAATCGATTCAAACTTTATAGTATGAACATCGAGACCACAAGGAAGGTCCCTACACTCATTAAATTTCAGTTTTTATAAGAAATTTTGTAAACATCTATAAACAAATGGTTAAAACATTGAAATTTCATGAGTGTTAGGACCTTCCTTGTAGTTTTCGTGTTCATATTTTCAAATTTGAAACGATTCGGTACACCCAGTTCGATGCAAAGTTTCATAAACGAGGCCTCATTGACTCATCGCCTTAAGGGGATGTGAAAGTGCCATCCGAGGGGTTAATCGTTCAGGAAACTTTTCTCCGAACTGGGTGCACCGAATCGTTTCAAACTTTGCAATATGAACATCGAGACTACAGGAAAGGTTCTGACACTCATTAAATTTCAGTTTTTATAAGAAATTTTGAAAATATCTATAAACAAATGGTTAAGAAATTGAAATTTCATGAGTTTCAGAACCTTCCTTATACCCTCAAAACTTAAATTTTAAAGTTTGAATCGATTCAGTACACCAAATTCGGAGAAAAGTTTCAAAAACAATACCTCATTGACGTCACTTTCACATCACCTTAACCACCATGAACATTCAGTAACTTCGTCACTGCACATCACGCAATAACCTACTGATCTATATAGAAGGTGTAACAGAAATGGTGGACACGGTTTATAGAGTGCTATTCTTGTTGAAAAAGGAGTCGAAAAGTCCTGTACTATTTTTTCCTACAGTGCGTAGTTTTCCTGTAATAACTAATTGAAGCACAGCCAATCAAATGCGTTCGCCAACGGAACGCATCGAAGGGGACGACGGAAAGTCTGCTATGCGCAGTCAGCCGAATGCAGCTTAAGGGCTAATTTACACGGTGCCAGTAACTGAAGTCGGTAAAACCGAATATTAAAATAAATTTACACGGTGCCAGGAACTCATACGAGTCACTAAAACCGAGTATTAAGGCGAATTTACACGGTGCCAGAAACTGAAATCACTGAACCCGATTATTAAAGCGAATTTACACGGTGCCAGGAACTGAAGTCACTAAAAACGAGTATTAAGGCGAATTTACACGGTACCGATATCTGAATTCAGTAAAACCGAGTATTAAAGCCAGTTTACACGGTGCCAGCAATTCGTACCAGTTACTAAAACCAAGTATTAAGGCGACTTTACACGGTGCCGGTAATTGAATTCAATAAAACCCAGTATTAAAGCGAGTTTACACGGTGCCAGTAACTGGTACGAGTCAATAAAACCGAGTATTAAAGCGAATTTACACGATGCCAGAAACTTAAATCACTAAAACCGATTATTAAAGCGAATTTACACGGTGCCAGGAACTAAAGTCACTAAAACCGAGTATTAAGGCAAATTTACATGGTGCCAACAACTCGTATGAGTTACCAAAATCAAGTATTAAGACGAGTTTACATGCCGCCCATAATTCAAGTCACTAAACCCGAGTATTAAGGCGAATTTACACGGTGCCAGTAACTGAAGTCAGTAAAACCGAATATTAACCCTTTGCGATCGTATGTCTACTCTCAGCCACCAAAATTCTCTTGATCTTGGGAAAATGCGACCGCAAAGGGTTAAAGCGAATTTACACGGTGCCAGTAACTCGTACGAGTCACTAAAACCGAGTATTAAGGCGAATTTCCATGATGCCAGCAACTCGTACCAGTTACCAAAACCAAGTATTAAGACGAATATACATGACGCCAGTAACTCGAGTCACTAAAACCGAGTATTAAGGCGAATTTACACGGTGCCAGTAACTGAAGTCAGTAAAACCGAGTATTAAAGCGAATTTACACGATGCCAGTAACTGAAGCCACTAAAACCGAGTTAAGGCGAATTTACACGGTGTCAGGAACTCGTACGAGTCAATAAAACCGAGTATTAAGGCGAGTTTACTCAGTGCCGGTAACTGAATTCACTAAAACCGAGTATTAAAGCGAGTTTACACGGTTCCAGTAACTGATACGAGTCACTAAAACCGAGTATTAAGGCGAGTTTACACGGTTCCAGTAACTGATACGAGTCACTAAAACCGTGTATTAAGGCGAATTTACATGGTGCCAGTAATTCAAGTCACTAAAACCGATTATTAAAGCGAATTTACATGGTGCCAGTAATTCAAGTCACTAAAACCGAAAGCGAGTTTACACGGTGCCAGTAACTGAAGCCACTAAAACCGAGTTAAGGCGAATTTACATGGTGCCAGTAATTCAAGTCACTAAAACCGATTATTAAAGCGAATTTACATGGTGCCAGTAATTCAAGTCACTAAAACCGAGTATTAAAGCGAGTTTACACGGTGCCAGTAACTGAAGCCACTAAAACCGAGTTAAGGCGAATTTACACAGTGCCAGGAACTGAAGTCACTAAAACCGAGTATTAAAGCGAATGTACAAGATGCCAGCAACTCGTACGAGTCCCTAAAGTCGAGTGCTTTACAAGATAGTATCGTTTACACCGTCTTATAGTACTTGCACAGTAGTAAGCAGAAAGCCATGTGCTATAACCCAAAAATGTCGAAGGGGCGACGCAATTTTAACCCTTTGAACACGGAGCTATTTCAACATATGGGCGAAATTCGTCTGACCGTGCAGGCAATATTGGACCAAACGTCGGGTGCCTTTAGGCGCTCTTAATAGCCAAAGGGTTAAACATTTTACGAATAAAATCATTAAACGGTAATTGAACGTGTCGGGTGAAGAGCGGTACTCTATTCTCTATTCTCTATTCGCTATTCTTGACCTGTTGTAGTTTCAAATTCCACAGGCATTCTTCCCCCTAATGCAATTCAACAGATATCAACGTGGGGTCTTCTGTCCGCCTTTGAGCCATCTCGACCCAACATTCAACACAAAATTGCACAAAAGTGCTTCACTTTGCTCTTGGAACTTGCATGCCGCCCTCGAAAAACGCATCTACATGTGTCTGATAGACAAGACAGTAGAGTAAAACACGTGGTGGAGGGTTACAACCCGCGCCAAGAAATAGGATTGCTTTCTATTCCCTCGACTCGCATTGCCACTTGAGCGAGTACTCTACTCCAGTACTAAAATGGCAGTTTACACAAGAAAAGTAATCCTCGGTTTTAGTGACCCGTACAAGTTACTAGAACCATGTAAATTCGCCTTACTACTTGGTTTTAGTGACTTGTACGAGTTACTGGCACCGTGTAAATTCGCCTTAATCCTCGGTTGTAGTGACTCGAGTTAGTGGCACCGTCTAAATTCGCCTTAATACTAGATTGTAGTGACTCGAGTGATTGGCACCGTGTAAATTCGAATTAATACTAGGATGTAGTGACCCGAGTTACTGGCACCATGTAAATTCGCCCTAATACTCGATTTTAGTGATACGTACGAGTTACTGGCACCGTCTAAATTCGCCTTAATACTCGATTTTAGTGACTCGAGTTACCGACACCGTGTAAATTGGCCTTAATACTCGGTTGTAGTGACTCGAGTAACTGGCACCGTGTAAATTCGCCTTAATACTAGATTGTAGTGACTCGAGTTACAGGCACCGTCTAAATTCGCCTTAATACTCGGTTTTAGTGACACGGACGAGTTACTCGCATCGTGTATATTCGCCTTAATCCTCGATTTTAGTGGCTCGAGTTACCGACACCGTGTAAATTGGCCTTAATACTCGGTTGTAGTGACTCGAGTAACTGGCACCGTGTAAATTCGCCTTAATACTAGGTTGTAGTGACTCGAGTTACTGGCACCATGTAAATTCGCCCTAATACTCGATTTTAGTGACACGTACGAGTTACTGGCATCGTGTAAATTCGCCTTAACACTGAACCTAGCGACGATTTATACCCCCATTACAAATACCATTTAAACCAGTCAAGTTGACCCGCCGGTGGTAGATTTAGTGTTAATACTCAGTTTAGTGAGATCTTTCACGCCATTGTTTGAAAGGGAGGCCCGGCCCACCAGCGCCCTCTACGCCCTCCATACCTGTGTAAAAATTGGAATTACTTTCAAAGGGGTGAAATCTTCGTGGTCGGTAAAACAGGGTATACGTGGGTACCGCGTCGTAATCTCAATCATCCACGCATAACAACATTATTTGGTATTCGTAGTCTTTTTTCCCAACCTACGTCGACCCTGACATTAAAAACGAAAAGCTGACAACTTCATTCTATCGATACTGTGCTGTATTTGAGATCTGCAGACGGATTTTGCTTTACCGACAGTGAACATTTCGCCCCTTTAAAAGCAATTCCACGGCGCAAGTGAGCCGTGCCTTTGTTTCGAAAATGGCGTGAAACATCTCCCCGCTCAACTCTGGTATCAGCAATCCAGTTGGTATACAGATCAGCGCCGTGGCCACGAGCCATAACCTAACGAGACACCTGCAAACTCGCCATCATTGACTCAACAGCGAAAACAACGACGACAGCGTGCAAAGGTAAACAGATCGAAAGTCAGTACCTGCTCCGAAGGTGCAGGAGTGTTTAGGGACGCACTTTTACTCTCTTGAGATCCAACAAGCTGCTTTGCAATTGCACAAAAAGACGACATTTCGATATTATTCAAGAGACCATGGTTAACGCTAAAGGTAAGACCAGCAGCGAAGGTACGAGTCGAAGCTAGCGAACCTGGTGAGTAAATGTGCAACTACTTACTACGTCGAAACTCACTTGATGAGCCGGCGCCGGGGTCGGATCTTTCGTGGATCTTTCCGTCCTATCAGCCGGAGTGTGATAGGTGGAAACACTCGGACTTCCGCTTGGTGGACGACTTCGGGGATGCGGTGGCTGTGGTATGACCATGTTCGGAGGAATCCCTGTACTGGAGGTTGTGTTTCTCCCAGCGGTTGGTGGCAACAGCATACCCGGTGGTGGTGCGTGTATGCTGCTGCTGGTTCGAGCTGGTGCTGGCTGGCCTCTTAATAGAGGTGGAGGCGCCTTCCCGGTACGGTGACTAAAAAAAGGATTCATTTTACTTCGCTTTAAGGTAGACATCAGGTATAAGCCATTCTCCTCCAATTTAAGGTGAAGTGAAACACCCTTCAAATCAGTCGATTCGAATACAACACTTTTTTTTAAGGGTATTAGACCAAACTGTCCAGAACTTTGACACATCACTCGTGATCATCTAAGAATTGTCCTGACACATTCAAAATTTGGATTTTTGAAAAGAATTTTTTAACTCAGCCCAAACCAGAACTAAAATGGCGTCGAGCTCTAATATTTCGGTCGATATACAATTATCGAAGGCTGATATGAGAATCGAAAGGGTCAGGACAATTTTACGATAATTTAGAATACTCTGGTAATCGATAAACTCGCATTTGAACGGGATAAAGGCAAAGAAAGTGTTTTATGCGCATCTATGCTAAAACGATGGTAATACGAGGTCTCGGAGGGAAAATTTCATTAACCTGGAAATCACAGATGGCGCAGGGGGTCCCTCTGCAGCCAATTAGGGCCCCAAAAAGCATGAATCCAGAGGATTTCTGGAGTTCTACTACGATTTTTTTATAATTATTGTGCGAAACCGACAGGTGGAGTATGCCATTTAGTGCAATACCCAATATAATTAGACACAACTGTCAATATAAAAACGGACGTCGGCAACGTAGGTATTTAGAAAAATCATCTTTATCGACGTCGATCAAGTTCCTCGACGTGTTTCACTTCACCTTAACTAAAAGACGTTTAAACGCTCTGCTAAAAGTGAGTTATGAGTAAGAGCCTAGATTTTATTTTTTTATTATTGTCATATTAGCCTGATATATGAACAATTCATACCTATGGGGTGTTTGTTGTGTCGTAACCGGAGGTGGTAACTTGCTGGGAACTTTCGGTACCGCTGCAATGTTCTCCTTCAATTGTTGCGATTGTTTAAGCTTCTTTATCAACACCAACTTCATTTCTTCAGATCTCAACTCTTCCCTGAACTTCCTGACGATCCTCTCGCGTTCAGCCAGTTCATCAGAAGACAATTCCTTAATTGGTAGCAATGGCGGCATTTCACCTAATGCATAAATATCATAAGTAAACATAAGTCCCATGTATTTACCTTAAGCTGATGTGAAAATGGCTACAGAGTTCCCATTCATGAAACTTTTCATCAAACTGGGTGTATTGAATCGATTCAAACTTTGCAATATAAATATGGAGGTTTACACCCTCCATATTTATATTGCAAGGTCATGAGATTCATGAAATTCGTTCATGGACATTTAAACAAATTTCTTAGAAAAAATGAAATTTCATGAGTCTCAAAGCCTTCCTTATACCTCTCCTTTAATGTTGCAAAGTTTGACACGATTCTACACATCCAATTCGAAGAAAAGTTTCATGAACAATTGATTCTTCAGATGCCACTTTCACATCACCTTAAGGTGAATTGAAAATGGCGTCAAAGAGTTCTAGTTCATGAAACTTTTCATCAAACTGGGTGTATTGAATCGATTCAAACTTTACAATATAAATATGGAGGATATAAGGAAGAACCTAAAACTCATGAAATTTCAATCTTTTTTAAATTTGTTCGTAGATATTTCTAAAATTTTGTATAAAAATGAAATTTAATGTGTCTAAGAGCCTTCCTTATACCTCCCCTTTAATGTTGCAAAGTTTGACACGATTCTGCACATCCAATTCGAAGAAAAGTTCCATGAACAATTGATTCTTCAGATGCCACTTTCACATCACCTTAAGGTGAATTGAAAATGGCGTCAAAGAGTTCTAGTTCATAAAACTTTTCATCAAACTGGGTGTATTGAATCGATTCAAACTTTACAATATAAATATGGAGGGTATAAGGAAGAACCTAAAACTCATGAAATTTCAATCTTTTTTTTTTTTTACCGACGTCGATCAAATTTCTTGACGCGTTCCACTTCACCCTAGAATGAGTATGAAAAAAATTAAGAGAAAATAGCGCTTCAATTTCCCGAATTAGACCACTATAACTTTCAAACTGAAACGTACTACCATGGTATAACAAATTTCACTTCATAACAAAACCTTTTTTAAGGTATAAACAAACAAATAGAGCCTAATGAACAGCGTGTACCTTCGTCGGTATCAATTGCATTTCCATTTAAATATCCATTCGACACAGGTGTCGATATAAATACGAACGTCGGCAACGTAGAAATTTAGACGAATCTTTTTTACCGACGTCGGTCAAATTTCTCGACACGTTCCAGTTCACCGTAGAATGAGTATGATAAAATTTTGAAGAAGAAAGCGTTTCAATTTGCCTTATTAGGCCACTATAACTTTCAAACTGAAACGTACTACCATGGTATAACAAATTTCACTTCATAACAAAACCTTTTTTGAGATATAAACAAACAAATAGAGCCTAATGAACAGCGTGTACCTTCGTCGGTATCAATTGCATTTCCATTTAAATATCCATTCGACACAGGTGTCGATATAAATACGAACGTCGGCAACGTAGAAATTTAGACGAATCTTTTTTACCGACGTCGGTCAAATTTCTCGACACGTTCCAGTTCACCGTAGAATGAGTATGATAAAATTTAAAAGAAAAAGGCGTTCCAATTTGCCGAATTAAGCCACTATAACCTGAAAACCGATACGTACTACCATGCTATAAGTTTCACTTGAAAACAAAACCTTTGCTGAGGTATAAACAAACAAATAGAGCCTAATGAACAGCGTGTACCTTCGTCGGTATCAGATGCATTTCCATTTAAATAGCCATTGATTCTCGGTTCATCAGGACTTTCTGCATAACTTCTTTCAGTTCTTGGCCTAAGATTACGGCGTGATCTTCTGTCTTCGCCAGACTTTGGGGCAAGAATGCCCCTTGTGGCATTTTGAATATTTCTAGCTTCCGGCATGTTGCTATCCGAAGTTGGACTCGACGAGAAGTGCACACCTAGGTCTAACGGAGTTCCAGGATCCGTAGATGTCGGTAAAACAGTCGGGGAATCTCTCCTGTTGCTACAACGAATAAAGAAAGATAACTCATTAGCATTTTAAGGTGATATGAAACTAGTGACAAAGAAGTCTCATTTATGAAACTTTTCTCCAAATCGGGTGTACCAAATCGATCCGAAAGAAAACTCATTTAGCATTTTAAGGTGATGTGAAACTAGTGACAAAGAGGTCGCATTTATGAAACTTTTCTCCAAATTGGGTGTACCAAATCGATTCAAACATTACAATATAATTATGAAGGGCTTAAGGAAGATCCTGAAACTCGTTAAATTTCAATTTTTTAAAAGTTTATTCGTAGATATTTTCAAAAATTGTTATACAAACTGAAATTTCATGTGTAAGGACCTTCCCTGTAGTCTCGACGTTCATATTGTAAAGTTTGAAACGATTCGGTACACCCAATTCGGAGAAAAGTTTCAGGAACGATCGATCCTTCGGATGCCACTTTCACATCCCTTAGGGTGAAGTGAAACCCTCCTCAAATCAGTCGATTCGAATACAACACTTTTTTTTAAGGATATTGGACCAAACTATCCGAAATTTTGACACGTGGCTCGTGATCATCTAAGAATTGTCCTGACACATTGAAAATTTGGATACTTCAAAAAAATTCTTTTAACTCAGCCCAGACCGAAACCAAAATGGCGTCGAGCTCTCATATTACGATCAATATACAATTATAGAAAGGCTCTGATATGAGAATCGAAAGAGTCAGGACAAACTTACGACAATTCAGAACACTCTGGTAGTCGATAAACTCGCATTTCAACGGGATAAAGGCAAAAAAAGTGTTGTACGCGCTTCTATGCTAAAAGGATAGTCATGCGAGGTCTCGGAGTGAAAATTTAATTGACCTGGAAATCACAGATGGCGCAGAGGGTCCCTCTGCAGTCAATTAGGGCCCCAGAAAGTATGTATCCAGAGGATTTTTGGAGTTTTATTTCGATTCCTTTATAATTATTGTACGAAAACGACAGGTGGAGTATGCCGTTTGGTACAATACCCAAAGTAATTCGACACAGCTGTCAATATAAAAACGAACGTCGGCAACATAGGCATTTAGAAAAACCTTTATCGACGTCGATCAAGTTCTTCGACGTGTTTCACGTCCCCTTAAGGTGAACTGAAACCCGCCTCAAATCAGTCGATTCGAATACAACAATTTTTTTTAAGGATATTGGACCAAATTATCCGAAATTTTGACACGTGGCTCGTGATCATCTAAGAATTGTCCTGACACATTGAAAAGTTGGATGTTTCAAAAAAATTCTTTTAACTCAGCCCAGACCGAAACCAAAATGGCGTCGCGCTCTCATATTTCGATCAATGTACAATTAATGAAGACTCTGATATGAGAAACGAAAGGGTCAGGACAATATTACAATTTAGAACACTCCGGTAATCGATAAACTCACATTTGAACAGGATAAAGGCAAAAAAAGTGTTTTATGCGCTTCTATCCCAAAACGATGGAAATACGAGGTCTCGGAGTGAAAATTTGGTTGACCTGGAAATCACAGATGGCGCAGGGGTTCCTTCTGTAGCCAATTAGGGCCCCAAAAAGTATGAATCCAGAGGATTTTTGGAGTTTTATTTCGATTCCTTTATAATTATTGTACGAAAACGACAGGTGAAGTATGCCGTTTGGTACAATACCCAATATAATTCGACACAGCTGTCAATATAAAAACGAACGTTGGCAACGTAGGTATTTAGAAAAATCCAAATTTTGTATGTATCAGGACAATTCTTAGATGATCAGGAGTGGTGTGTCAAAGTTTCGGCCAGTTTGGTCCAATACCCTTAAAAAAAAAGTGTTGTATTCGAATCGACTGATTTGAAGGGGATTTCGCTTCACCTTAAGGTGATAAAAAAGAATCACTCTATACCAGGTGTATAAGCTTAAATCCGCTGTTTGCTCATAGATTGCGTTAGTGAGCATATTAAGTTACTATGGACCCGCCATACTTTTCTTTTGTATGAGTTTGACATCTGTCAACGATAATCAGGGCACATCATCAGCAATTTCATACAACAACATACATTTTTCCTTTGGTAATCGTGTCTAGTTTTTTGCCAGAAATAGAGCATATGCGGGAAGCTCTGCTTTTCTGCTTCAATTTGAAGAAATCGGCTGCCGAATCGTATCGAATGCTTGTGGAGGCCCATGGCGACAGTGCTTTATCGGAAATAACGTGCAGAGATTGGTTTCGTCGGTTCAAAGACGGCCATTTTGACCCGAGCGACAAGAAGCGTGAAAATCAGCCCAGGATGGTTGAGGACCATCAACTGCAGGCTCTTTTGGACGAGGACGATACCCAGTCGCAAAAAAGCTTGCCGAGCAATTGGATGTTACTCAACCAGCCATTTCCATACGCCTACGTGCCATGGGAAAGGTTCAAAAGATCGGAAAATGGGTGCCGCATGAATTGACCGATAGGCAGATGGAGCGACGCCAAAACATGGGAAATCTTCCTCGCCAGACAAAAAAGTAAGTCGTTCCTATATCGGATTGTGACTGGCGATGAAAAGTGGATATTTTTCGAGAATCCTAAACGCAAGAAATCCTGGGTTGATCCTGGCCAACCATCAAAATCGTCCGCAAGACCAAATCGCTTCGGACGGAAGAGGATGCCGTGAATTTGGTGGGATCAGCAGGGTATCGTCTAGTATGAGCTGTTGAAACCTGGTGAAACCGTCAATGCCCTCTGCTCCCACTAACAGCTGATCAAATTGCCCCGTGCTCTGCGTCAAAAAAGGCCGGGTTATCAACAAAGACATGACGAGCTGATTTTCCTCCACGACAACGCCCCATCGCCCCCGTCAGAAATGGTCCGAAAGTACTTGGAGGCCCCCAACTGGAAGTGTTACCCCGTGTCGCTTATTCCCCAGACCTGGCCCCTTCCGACTACCACCTGTTTTCGTCGATGGGCCACGCACTCTCTGGGCAACACTTCGATTCTTACGAAGACGTCCAACAATGGCTTGATGAGTGGTTTGCCTCGAAAAAGAAGAAATTTGTTGGCGTGGTATCCACAAATTGCCCGAGAGATGGAACAAGTGTGTAGCTAGCGAAGGCCAGTATTTTGAATAAATTATTTTTTCGCTTTCTGTGAAAAAATCGTGTTTTTCTGACTAAAAAACGGCGGATTTAAGCTTATAAACCTGGTATACCAAAACGTCAAAATATTTATAAAAGTTTCCTCTAAACTGGATGCGCCGCATCATTTGAAACTTCGACACATGATTATGAAGGAAAGAACGCGAAGCTCGTGAAAAATCACTATTCACAGGGGAAAAAAAAATGTGACCCTGGTTCTGCTCTAGGCTAAAAGAAAAAACATTTTGTTAAAAAAATGAAATTTCACGAGCATCGCGTCCTTCCTTAGGACTTTCACAATCACGTGACGAAGTTTCAAATGATTCGACGCATTCAATTTGGAGAAAAATTTTATAAATATTTTGACTTTTTGCTATGTATATGTTACCGTGAATGACCGAAATTGGAGAATGTCGACTTTCACCAGTGAATGTCAACAGATACCAAATACGTCGGTGAAAGATCGAATATTTCATTACATTGTTGTACATTCGGACCCTCTCCAGTGTGTGTCGACAATCACAGATATTAGTGCATGGTGAATGTCAACATTTACCGGTGAAAGTCGATATTCTACAGATTTCGGTGTTTCACTGTAACATATATATGACGTTCTATATATCAAGCCGTCACGTGATTATGATGGCCCTAAGGAAAAACGCAAAGCTCGTGAAATTTCATTTTTCACAATAAAATGTAACCTTGGTTATGGTGTAGGCGGAATACAAAAACATTTTATTGAGAAATGAAGTTTCATGAGCATCACGTTCTCCCTTAGGGCCTTCATAATCACGTGATGATATTTCAAATGATTCGGTGCGATTTTGAGGAAGGTTTTATAAATATTTTAACGTTTGGATGTATAGAACGGCCCTTTCATATCACCTTAATCATTTAATATAGCTTAAAAGCACCCAATTTGAATGTTTTAAATCTTACTTGACACTTAGATCGACAACTGCATCTCCATCCAAATCCATTGCCTCCATTCTCCCTTGTCCAGTTAGCCTAGAATATAAAAATAAATATTAAACATCGTTTAATAACCCGCTATCATTTTTAAAATTCATTTCCATTACATACAACTAATCATTAAAACAACAATTTTTCAAGGCGTTCTTTCTTAACAATGACAGAATAAAAAACGTCCTATTATCGGCCTAAGAGGATATGAAAGAGTCAGCCTGTATATATCTCAAAAGACAAATCGTTGGTGAAAGTATTCTCCGAATTGGAAGCACCGATTCGTTTCAAATTTTACCACCAGAATATGGAGGCGCTGAAGCAGGTCCTCAAACTCATGAGATTTCACTTTTCATCCAAAATTTCTTTACTTATCATGGACCAGACCCAACATGGCGGGAGCCGGGCACGTTATCGATGTTTTACGCTTCTTGGAGGTTAAGAATCGAAAATGAAGAGTTTCAGTACCTAGCTCGAACAATTAAGAATACCGTAGAAATTGAATATTACAGAGTCAGATGGGAAAATGTGGTAAATACTCTCACCAACGTTTGCAAGAGAATGCTGGCTTGTCCTGCGGCTAACACGTGTTTAGAACAAAAATTTAGTTGCAGCTAAACGTCACAGATGGCGACGTTGGTTCGTCAAAATGTAAACAGTCATAAATTAATGGGATTTCGACAGTTGTACATCGATGTTTTTATCATTGCTTTACCGAAATCACGTATGGAACCCTTTCGTACATATAATTCTCAACGCGGACTGTAAAAGACTTCAACATAAATATAAATGTCGGTAATGGGACGCACCAACTTATGTTACCACTTGAGTATTCCAATCACCATTACCACCAAGAAGGGTATGGATGAATTTTACTTTATCGACGTCGATTAAGTTTCTCAGCGCCCTTCATATCCTCTTAAGAGGTGGTATGTATTAAAATGTGATAAATACTTTCACCAACGATTGCAAGAGAACGCTGAATTGTCCTGCGGCTAATGCGTGTTTTTAAAGCAAAAATTTAGTTGCAGCTAAACGTCACAGATGGCGACGTTGGTTCGTCCAAATATAAACAGTCATGAATTCATGGCATCTCGGCAGTTTTACATCGATCTTTTTATCATTACTTTATCGAAATTACATATAGAACCCTTCAGTTCGTATAATTTTCAACGTAGACTGTAAAAGACTTCAGCATAAATATAAATGTCGGTAACGAGACGCGCCAGCTTATGTTCCCATTTGAGTATTCAAAATGACGTTCCCACCAAAAAGGGTATACATGAATTTTAATTTCTCGAGCTGGATTAAATTTCTCAGCGCCTTTGATATCATCTTAAGAGGTGGTATGTATTAAAATGTGATAAATACTTTCACCAACGATTGCAAGAGAACGCTGAATTGTCCTGCGGCTAATGCGTGTTTTTAAAGCAAAAATTTAGTTGCAGCTAAACGTCACAGATGGCGACGTTGATTCGTCCAAATATAAACAGTCATGAATTCATGACATTTCGGCAGTTTTGCATCGATCTTTTTATCATTACTTTACCGATATGACATATAGAACCCTTCGGTTCGTATAATTTTCAACGTAGACTGTAAAAGACTTCAACATAAATATAAATGTCGGTAACGAGACGCGCCAGCTTATGTTCCCATTTGAGTATTCAAAACACTGTTCCCCCCAAAAAGGATATAGATGAATTTTACTTTATCGACGTCGATTAAACTTCTTAGCGCCTTTCATATCCTCTTAAGGTGATATGACAGTGTCAACAAAAAGGCAAAATATTTATACAACTTTTCTCCAAACCGAGTGCAGAAAATGATTTCAAACTTTAGCACGCGATTATGAAGGCCCTTAAAAAGAATGCAGTGAAATTACACTTTTCAAACAAAATTTTTTTTATTTTAGCCTAGACTCGAAACAAAACCTCATTATCTTATTGAGATAAATAAAGTTTCACGACCACCGGGTTCTTCCCTAGGGCCTCCATAATCACGTAAAGTTTGAAATTATTTAGTGCACCCAGTTTGGGAAACACTTTTATAAATATTTTGTTTTACAGTTTTATAAATATTTTGAATTTTTTGTATGTACATATCACACTTTCATATCACCTTAAATATTAGACTTCGGTTACATATAAGAGTTTTGAGGTTAGAACATGTATTCAGAAAAAATAATCAAGTATCAAATATTAAAAGAACCATGAGGCGCATGCATACATGGTGAGCTGATGAAACATGTGTTCATATATCAAGAGACTTATATTTTAACTACATAAGTCGCAGTAAAATTGAGGTTACGATTTCCTTTCTACGAATCCCTTCATATCAGTTTGTGAATTATTCGTGGAATAAAAGTTGATTTATAGTTTTATATTCAATAATGAATTATTTTTAGTTTTGTTTACGTTATAAACATGCCTCCGGCTTGTTAAAATCATATCTACAACAATTACAGTTATAACTTGAATAATATTTTCTGTATACTTGTCTCATCACTAAAGTTACAGCAGTAGCGTAACATTTTCTTTGCTCGGATAATTTTGTACAGTGAACAAAAATCATGTACTCAGATTTGCAGAAATCCCGTCCGCTCTCTACTACTTCTCTCGACATAGATTGAGCTAGGTACGATCTGTATTATCCATCTATAAGGTTCATAATGTACTATTACGCTATCTTCAGATCGAGCTACCATTCATACATACTGCTCGTCCACAAAGTTAACCTTCAAACCTGGCTTATTTTTTACATCGTTTACTGCCATCATGTTCAAATAGACCCATGACAATCAAATATGATAGTACGATCCCAATTTTGTTTACATAATTAATATTTAAGTGATTAACTACATAGCAAATAGGTATAAGAGAAAGAAAATTGGTTCATATCTAAATGGACCCAAAGTAGACAAGAAGGTTAAATAACGTATCACTCCTTTCGACGTAGATTAAGTGTCCAGTCGTAGACTACGTGCACTCTGTCCACAAAATTGATAATGCATTCCTCTCGACATAAATTGAGCCACCGTTTACATACACTACCTGAATCATGCATCCGTAAACATAACCTTCATGCCTTTCTCGAGTCTATTTAGATCCTCTTCGACTCTTTTTCCATTCATACTTCTTTCCCTCGATCTTCTTCGCTACAACTTTAATTACCCAATTATTAATTATATGAATAAATTTGCGGGAAATAATTTAAATATTAGGGAAGACACAAAGAATAACAATATACCATTACTCTTGACATTGGTCGATCCACATTCACACGTACTATCTGTATTATTCATCCATAAAGAAGTATAAGGAGATCTAATGCTATGTATTGAAATCGTTCCCACTTTAAGGGTCTAAGATGTTCAGATTTTTTTCTGATCTAGTGCCAAGAGCGCCTCCTCGATGAAATTTTGCAATTAAAAATTATCGTCAGCTAGTCTTTATCACGTTAAAATCATTACAGTGTATATCATCCACGGATTATTGTTTCACTTTGCGTCTCTTAATTGCAAAATTAAAAGCATTTTAGGTAACTTACATCGCTAGGAAATGTTTTGGTCATGTAGGATTGGAGTTCCCTCATGTTCCGCAAGTAGCGCTCGCATCGTTAGATCAGAAAACATCTGAAATCGTGGGTCCCGATTTTGAGGCTACTTTCTGTGGAACCGACCATAGAGGTTATGTCTCCTTATACTACTTCATGCATCCATCCACAAAGTTAATAACGTACAATTGGTCTTGATATAGATCGAGTCTCTGTCCCATGTACTACCATTCACCCGTAAAGTCAACTGCGTACCATGCTACCAAATTTCTAGCATTAAGACAAACAATATACAGCACTATTTACCTGCAAAATGAAAAATATTATACACTCCCCAAAATATACAAAATACGAAAAGCAATTAATACATACTCGCAGTTAAAAGACCGCCATTACATCCTTAGCAAAATCTGAATGTATCGGCGACACAGCTGCTCGTAAACATTAAGACAAATAATATACGGCACTATTTACCTGCAAAATGAAAAATGTTATACACTCCCAATACATACAAAATCCAAAAAGCAATGAATACATACTTAAAATTAAGAGAATGAAATTACATCCTTAGCAAAATCTGAATGTATCGGCGATGCAGCTGCTTGCAAACATTAAGTCAAATAATACACAGCAATATTTAGCCGCAAAATGAGAAACATACATTCCCAAAAATATAGAAAATACAAAAAACAATGAATACATACTTGAAGTTAAAAGAACGCCGTTACATCCTTAATAAAATCTGTATGTATCGGTAACGTAGCTGCTCGCAGGAGATTAGGGATTCTCGACGTGGCGATCCGAGGATGCCGATTATGAGAAACTAGGACTCAGCGCGTCCGCAACATCAAAGGAAGTCAATTAAGTCAAGATGTTTTGAGCAGTGTAGATCTAAGGTGCAAAATCAGGTCCAAAGTAACCGATCCAACTAGATCGCACCCTCCGTTCGCACGTACTACCAATCCCATTCACGTGCAAAGTCAACTACGTACCATGCCACCTAATTGCAAACATTAAGACAAACAATATACCTGCAAAATGAGAAACATTATACATTCCCAAAAATATAGAAGATACAAAAAAACAATTAATACCTACTCGCAGCTAAAAGAGCGCCATTACATCCTCAGTATAATCCGAATGTATCGGCGACGCAGCTGTTCGCAGAATGTTAGGGGACCTCGACGTGGCGAGCCGAGGATGCCGATTAAGAGAAACCAGGACTCAGCGAGTACGTGACATCAAGCGAAGTCAATTAAGTCGAGATGTTTTGAGCAGTGAAGATCTAAGGTGCAAAATCAGGTCCAAATTAACTGATCCAGCTCGATTGCACCCTCCGTTCGCACGTACTACCAATCCCATTCACACGCAAAGTCAACTACGTACCATGCCACCAAATTGCAAACATTAAGACAAACGATATACCTGCAAAATGAAAAACATTATACATTCACAAAACTATAGAAAATACAAAAAACAATGAATACCTACTCGCAGCTAAAAGAGCGCCATTACATCCTCAGCATAATCCAAATGTATCGGCGACGCAGCTGCTTAGAGGATGTTAGGGGACCTCGACGTGGCGAGCCGAGGATGCCGATTATGAGAAACCAGGACTCAGCGAGTCCGGGACATCGAACGAAGTCAATTAAGTCGAGATGTTCCGAGGTGTGAAATTAGATCCAACCGCTGGAAGATTCACAGCCGGTGGCAACGGTTCGCTCTCGTTCGCACCCTAACCTCAACTGGCACGTATCCGACTGTCGATCGAACGGTAGCGCACCCTCCTTTCAAGACGCATCCTCGGAGAATACCATAGCGCCTACGTAGCCAGGATCCGAAGCGAGTCGCCCTGGACCGCCGAACGGCGAGGTTAGGCCTCGACGATGCTTCCTCTGGCACTCTCTTCCCCGGCGACGACGCGTTCCGCGTTCCCTGGGGAGCCCGGCGCGTCGGATAAACGCTCTCGGCAAGGAACACCGTACGGTACGCACTGAGTAAGAAGACCGCGAGCCGCGCACAATGGCAGTCGAGATCAACGCGCAGCGGCGATACGAGACTAGCGACCCCAACGGACTCGTGATTGGCGGGCAGCCTAGGCTCCAGGGGAAAGCGGCCGCGCTCTAAGAGAATGCGACTGCGCGTGGCGCGCGCGACCGAGACCCCGCCATGGTGCATGGAGGGTGAGGGAGCGAGAGGGGCCACCGAGCGGCTCGGCAAGCGCGCGCGGCGCTCCCATTGGCTGGTCGCCGCGGCCGCTCGACGCTCATTGGCTGGCCGCCGCTGCCGCTCGACGCTCATTGGCTGGCCGCTGCGGCTGCTCGACGCTCATTGGCTGCCGATCCTGGGACCCGCCGAGTGGGGAATCCTCCGAGCGCGCGCAGAGGTACGACGGCGAGCATTAATTACTTCCCCTCCTCTCCTCCCCTGCCGTGGCCCGGTACTACAAAAGTACCGAGAAGGGGTTGACGGAGAGAGAGAGAGACGGAGGGAGACGCGCGCGCCGGAAACGGATGGAAATCCGTCGCCCTTTCCCCTCGCTCGGTCGCACTCGGCCTCCACGCCGGATTTTCCCGAATTTCATCAACCCCTCCACTCTGACCATTGGGCGCTTCTCGCGACCCTACAAATCGATTTTTCACCTCCGAACCAGGGACCCGCGATCCGGGGCTTCTTTAACTTTTCGCGGATTATTTATTTGCGCGTTCTATACCCTTTCGCCCTCGCTTCGGCTCGCTCGGGGTTGGGTGATGACGCTTCTTTCGAGGCTTTTTATAGAAAATNTTCTCTATTCCCAGAGTGTTCAAAATTGTCGTACAACTATCCCGACCCTTTCCTTTCTCATATTAAAGCCTTCAATAATTGTACATCGATCGAAATATGAATGCTCCACGCCATTTTGGTTCTGGTCTAGACTGACGTAACGAATTATTTCCGAAAGTTCGATTCAATTCCTTTACGAAGTAAAACTCCAGAAATCCCCTGGGTTCGTGGTTTCCGAGGCCCTAATTGACTGCAGAGGGACCTCTTGCGCCATCTGTAATTTCCAAGTCAACTAAATTTTCACTCCGAGACCTCGTCTTCCCATCGCTTTAGCATAGCAGCGTTAAAAAGAGAAAGGCAGTATGTATCTCGTTCCAATGTAGAAAACTAGAGACGTATTATACGTTGTAATACACACGTACAAAAGCACGTATATTACATTACGTATATTTGTATATTAATTTTTAACTTATATTACATAACAAAGTGGTTTACGGCAAAAAATCATAGAAAACCAGTAAATTACGTTTACAATGAGGCCCTAAGAAAGACAGTGGAGCTCATAAAGTTTCATAAAAAAGAAAATATATATTCTTGCTTCTAATCCGAGATAGGTACCACAATTTTTATATTAAAAATGATATTTCATGGGCATCGCATTCTTCCTTAGGGCCTTCATGATCACGTGCTGAAATTTCGAATGAATCGACGCACCCAATTTATAGAAAAGTTTTATAAATATTTTGACGCAGTCTATATATATAACTCATTCATGATTTATATATATAGTGTCCTTTTCATATGACCTTAATAACGCTCTAAATAAATGTGGTGGAATAATTACGTTTTAAACCTATGGTTAACGACCGGTTCCGCTAACCTCGATTAAATCATTGATTACATAACCGTAGGTTAAAGTTAACATCTAACAAGGAAAGTATCCCAGGTCGATCTCTCCGATTTGATTTCTTTTAACATGTTAAAGTAGACTAAAAACTAAGCAATACGTATTTCTTTTTTATCTGCCATTAAACACTTTAAGGGGGTGAAATTACCATCCAAAGTAAGGCATGTCAAGGGGCGATTTGACAGTTTCACCCACAAAAACATAATATTTTCTAACCAATCCACCTGGAGAAGCTTTCTCATAACGACAAATGAAAAATATAATTTTTTCAATTAAGGTGAAGTGAAACACGTCGAGGAACTTGATCAACGTTGATAAAGAAGATTTATCTAAATGACTACGTTGCCGACGTTCGTTTTTATATTGACAGCTGGGTTGAATTATATTGTGTATTGTACTAAATGGCATATTCCACCTGTCGTTTTCGTACAATAATTATAAAGAAATCGTTAATACATACTCGCAGTTAAAAGACCGCCATTACATCCTTAGCAAAATCTGAATGTATCGGCGACACAGCTGCTCGTAAACATTAAGACAAATAATATACGGCACTATTTACCTGCAAAATGAANACGTTCGTTTTTATATTGACAGCTGGGTTGAATTATATTGTGTATTGTACTAAATGGCATATTCCACCTGTCGTTTTCGTACAATAATTATAAAGAAATCGAAGTAAAATTCCAGAAATCCTCTGGATTCATGCCTTCTAGGGCCCTAATTGACTGCGGAGGGACCCCCTGCGCCATCTGTGATTTCCAAGTCAATTGAATTTTCACTCCGAGACCTCGTATTACCATCGTTTTAGCAAAGAAGCGCATACAACCCTTTTTTGCCTTTTTCCCGTTTAAATGCGAGTTTATAGATTACCAGAGCGTTCTAAATTGTCGTAAAATTGTCCTGACTGTTTCGATTCTCATATCGGAGCCTTCGATAATTGTATATTGATCAAAATATGAGAGCTCGACGCCATTTTGGTTCTGGTCTGGACTGAGTTAAAAAATTTCTTTGAAAGATCCAAAGGTTTAATGTGTCAGGACAATTCTTAGCTGATCAGAAGTGATGTGTGAAAGTTTTGGACAGTTTGGCCTAATACCCTTAAAAAAAAGTGTTGTATTCGAATCGACTGATTTGAAGGATGTTTCACTTCACCTTAACAGTTTTCAATGTTCGTTTAATAATGTAATATAACCTCGCAATAACAAAAACTAACCTGTACATCCTAGCAAATTCTCTTTCTTCTCACGAAAATGGGCCTGAGGCGTCACGTAATTCCTTTCTTTTTCTAATAAGATTATTATTACATCCCCAAATACGATTGGTGCCAAAAATCAAAACACCCAGAAGGTTTTCCATTTTGAATTTCGGTGTCACAATCCGTGGAAGATGGCGTTGACGGTACTTATTTGTCCATCATTTCTTGTATGTTTCACCATTTCGCTTAAAAATTCGTGCCGAACCAGTTCATATGAATGGTTTCGCATTTTCCCCACCAAAAAGTGTTCCGTAATACCGTGAGCTAATCATTTTTCACATTTTCCTCCAGGCCCCCAGGATTAGGTAATTTCCCATTTTTTGAGGGTTTTAACGTATATTACGTAACAAAATCGTTTACCCTAAGAAAATCCTAGAAAACCAGTAAATTACGTTTCCAACATGAAGAATGCCGCAGATGGACAATATACAGCTTCTGCTAGGTTATGAACATTTTTCAGCACATATGGAAACACGGAAATATTTTAAGAAACAATAAATTAATTTGGCGCTTGTATTCAAAATGGCGGTCTGCACATATGCATGATATATGTATTCGCGAGGTTAACGTCTTTCAGCGCACATATAAACACGTAAAAATTGTTAAGAAATAATTAATATGGCGTTTGAGTTTAAATTCTTTCGACTTAACCCTATTTAATATCAAATTTCGAATTGGATTTGTTATTTTCTATTTAAAAGGAGAAAGGCATTATGTACTTTGCGCTCGCATAGAAAACTAGGGACGTATTATACGTTGTAATATACACGTAGAAGACCATGTATGTTACATTACGTATATTTGTATATTAATTTTTGACTTATAATACATAATAAAGTGGTTTACGGCAAAAAATCATAGAAAACCAGTAAATTACGTTTACATTATGAAGAATGCCGCAGATGGACAATATACGGCTTCTGCTAGGTTATAAACATTTTTCAGCACATATGGAAACACGGAAATATTTTAAGAAACAATAAATTAATTTGGCGCTTGTATTCAAAATTGTTTAAAATTTTACGTTTTCAATATGGCGGTCTACACAGATGCATGATATATGTATTCGCGAGGTTATCTTTCAGCACACATATAAACACGTAAAAATTGTTAAGAAATAATTAATTTGCCGTTTGTGTTCAAATTCTTTCAAAATAACGCTGTTTAATATCAAACATCTAATTGTATTTTTTATTTTATATGTAAAAGGGGAAGAGAAATAATATACTTTGCGCTCGCGTAGAAAACTAGGGTCGTATTATAGGTTGTAATACACACGCAGAAAAGCACGTATATTACATGACGTATATTTGTACATTTTTATATTTATTTTTGACGTATATCACGTAACAAAGTGGTTTACAGCAGAAAATCGTAGAAAACCAGTAAATTACGTTTCCAATATGAAGAATGCCGCAGATGGAGGATATGCGGCTTCTGGTACGTTGTAAACGTCTTTTAGCACGTATGTAAACACGAAAATATTGTAAGGAACAATAAATTCATTTGGCGCTTGTATTCAAAATCGTTTAGAATTTTACGTTTTCAATATGGCGGACTCCACATATGCATGATATATGTATTCGCGAGGTTAACGACTTTCAGCACACATATAAACACGTAAAAATTGATAAGAAATAATTAATATGGCATTTGCGTTTCAATTCTTTCGACTTAACCCTATTTAATATCAAATTTCTAATTGGATTTGTTATTTTCTTTAAAAGAAAAAGGGCATAATGTACTTTGCGCTCGTGTAGAAAACTAGGGACGTATTATACGTTGTAATAAACACGTAGAAGACCCGAATATTGCATTACGTATTATACTTACCCAACCCTGATGTAATGATTCCTCCACAGCCTTCCTTCCGGGGCTGTCATCGTTTTCTGCAAATCCCACTAATCGTTTTATTACCTTGCAATTGTAAAAGACGAAAATTACATCTTTCACGAATTTCAGGAATAGAGGGTCAATAAGTGTGAAAATATTATAGCAGTAGAATGAAAAACAATTTTAACTACACCAGTGAAAAATTATAGTTTACTTCATTTCAGCCACAGCAACGTAGTAA